TCAGGTGAGTAAATAATATTTTTTTCCATATGAACATATTTTATTGCAGCTAAATGTCAGTTTGAAAATGGTGCGAAAGTGAATGCTGAAAAAGCCGGCCTTCCTCAACATAAAATAAATGAAAACGACGAAAAAATGAAGTTTTTGTCCGACCAAAGTACAGAATGTGTCGATATTGATTTAAACTTTGGAACACATGGCGATGAAAGAATAGACAAAGCTAGAGGATCTAGTACATTTGGCCTTAAACCAAGTATATACTTGTCGCTTGTCATTTTTATATATCTTATATTGAGATTATATGAATTACTCTTAACTATACGTTTATGACCACCATAATAAAATTATAACCATATATTTCATTGAAACATACGTGGACATGAATTATGTTGAGAAAATCTAATTTACTTTCCAGATTGTAATATAAAAAACATTCCATTTTAGCACATTATCTCGAGTTTGCACTCAAACAATTCAAAAGGGCATTAATATATCAAATTATTCTCAATCCGAGTATTTATTTTCAGAATCTCAAGGCCGTATTTGCAAAGACCCGAAAGTACAATTAAACGAAAACAAGCCAATGGTTAGTTCAATGCAAGATGAGAGCCACAGAGAACATAATTTACCGGTAAATAATTCATTTATTAACAATGAAACTTTTTATTCTTTTTGATTAAAATGTTTAAACTTTTATGAAGAATACAGTAGAATTCAAACATTGCTACTTGATTGTCATTTTAAAGAGAACATCTCATATTAACTAAGATACATGTATTTACCTTGTAATAAAATATACAAAACAACTTTTGTTGTTTATTTTCAGGATCCAAATTACTTCACAACTGCTCAAAACGAGGAATTCGAGAAAAATGGAGAACAACCCGGCAAAGGAGTAATTAAATCAGTTTATGACATATTGTCAAATTCATTTCTTCGAACCATAGGTGATATTACGGTTGAAAAGCCAAACACTTTTTAGTAACGAGAAGCCTAAGTACACAGCGACGGTTTATGAATAAATATTACTTAACCATGAAAAGACCTGCTGTCTTATATTACGTAATTAATTGATTATCTTCCCAATTTAAAATTTAAAATATAAACACACACTATCAAAACAAAACAAGAGTCTTGTGTGGTAACTATTGTTTATTTTTCATAAAATATTACAAGACGATGTAAAGCTCTATGACTTTTTGTATTAAATATGAAACAATTAATATGAAAATACTTAAAACAAGTTTAAAGACACTTCTACTCATTAACAATTAGAATAATGTTAAATTTTATGTAGAATTTGAATCAGCGATTTAACAAATATTTGTGCTGAGTTTACTAAGAGTTTGTTCATATTGATCTACCATTATATGATATGAGCTAATATCAAATTTCGCCTGAATTAGGGTTCTGATTTTATTCAAATATGAATATCTTATTTAGCTGCAATGTTTTATCTCATCTAGTAAGCATATGAATTTGAAAGCTAGTTTTACAAAGTGCAACATAAACTTGTCCATTTTATATCGTTTATGATTGTCAGAAGGTCAATATTGACCATTGTTTGTCTTTGCAGTAACGATAACGTTTTTTACATTTTTAATAAAATAATAATATCTAAACAACAAAGCAAAACAAACAACACAACTTTATATAAATTTCAGGTTAAGTCTGAAATGGGATTTTTTTATAGATGTATTTTTTCTCTACAAAATACTTTTTTTCGTCTTCAAATGTAAACAAAACAGGAAATTGAGTAAAACAATGTCAGTATGTTTCACACGCACATAAGAATATCATTTTTTCTTGTTCTATTTTTATGAACAGAGTAAGTTTTATCAATCTGAATGCAAAAATAAACTTTTACTATGTTGCTAAATGGCAGAACTAGAAATCAATCTCTGTTACATCAAGGACATGCTTGTTACTGCAAGGACTAATGAATGTTACTGAAAGGACTTATAACTATAAATTCACGTTTATTTTGTATCATTGAACTAACAATTAAATGTTAACAACATACAGAAATGAAAATAAGCTTTGAATTTTTCTTAAATAGATCTTGAATTTGAATAGCAAAAGTAAGGGAAGCTCTCTTTTAAAGTTACAGGACGGACATATTTGTTACTGAAATGACAAAAAATTTTAAAATGGGGAAAAGTTACAAGTCTTTAAGGTAACCAAGCAATGTTGTGAGTTCGCATAATTCAGTCTAAACTCGTCCCAGTCAATTTTATAAACAAGTTCATAGAGAATACCATCAGAAGTTTTGAAGATTGATATTACATGCTATATTTTTAATCAGGAGTTTTCGAAGTTAAATTATTAAAATTAAATGCAAAGTTCTTGACATTTTAGAATGCATAATTTTAATCCTCCTGAATGACTGTAAATAAATTTCCAGAGATTATTTCTTGTGACAAAGCCATCATTTAGCTTACAAATTGTCAGTGGCCCTTCTGTGCCTGAAATAACCTGGTGTCTTTTTCAATCATTGAAGCTTGAAATTTGCCAACTGAACTTAGAGTTTTGGTGCAACATTTTAAGCAAACAAAACAAAATAGAAACTTACTGTGTTCACAAAGTACGATAATGTCAGGAATTTTACATGAGGCCAAAATAGGACTCGGAAAGTAAACAAACAGTCATGTTCTAAGTTTCACGGGACTACTTTTTAATGACTAATTTTAGTAGTTTTGAAGACAACAATTTTCTTTTGTAAAAATGCCTTAAAGGCTTGCTTGTGAATGATATAAGTTAGGTTTGATTTCTATTTTGCAAAGTAAACTGTAATTCTATGCAATAAATAAGTCTCTGTAGAGATAAGTACTAAGAACTTTCCTTCAATATACTGGTACTGCCTTATTACTTTTATTTCTAAAATCGCTACAGTTATTTTGTGAAATGACATGCATTTCAATTACAACAAGATGTATATTGTCCTTACAGTAACTTAATGTTTAGGATTCTAAAGGGTGCAAGATTATTCAGATTTCCTCAATTTTACAAAAGCATGTACTGTAAAAGCAAAAAAATAACCCAATTGAATATATATACTGAAACATAAAAGAAACTTTCTCCAAGTTTGAATGTAGATATGTTAGTAAAGTACATTGAGTTTGAATTAAAAAGTCCTTTCAATAACACAGGTTGTCCTTCGAATAACAAAATAACATAAAACAGAAGTTTTAAAATGCATAAATGTCTAATTATATAATAAATATATTAATAATAAATAGATTATACCAACAAGAAAATGTTTATCGCATCTTTATCCATAATTATATGTTAAAGAAGAACTGTGTTGTATTTTGTACTTTCAGTAACAGATTTTGTACTTGCAGTAACATTATTGTAAGGACAGTTACTGCAAGGACTTATTCAGGTTGTTTTATAGCCTGTTTACACAGATAAGAGAAGGGAGACAATTTTGATCATTTAATTCATGACTGAAACATATTTGCTAATAACAGCAATACAAAAGGGAATCTTTCTCATAAGTTAAACAATAAGAATCTCGTTACTTAAAGGACACTGTTCGAAATCATGGTTCCAACCTTTAATCAATGTCTTTCAATTTTCTAAATCCTATTTAAAATGTCCATATGTTTTGTTGCTGTAGCCATGTATTATACCTATCACCTTCTTTTGAAGAGCACACTGGAACAATTTACTTAAACTAAAATAATCTACTTATATTACTGTTACTTGAAGGACATTTTTGTCAAAAAGTTGGGGACAAAATTATAACTTGCATTTTGCAAATTGAAATACTTAACTGAGGCTTTTACTGTATAAATACATTATATAAAAGGTTATATTTTGCGTTAGTTAACAAAAATATGTATTTTAGTAATACAAATTAACAGGATAAACAGCTGAAGTTGGGATTTTGACTTAAGGACGAGGGATTATCAGTTTTAATTTAGGTTTATGACACCACCAGAAAAATATATGTTGAATATCTTATCCTGTAAATGTCTTGGTGTTATGTATGCAACATATTACATGTATATAGTTTGTATCTGACCAGTTGGTATTTCCAATATTATCATTGTTCTATTTTTAGAACATAAACTACATGTATGTACTAGAACGTTCTTAACTGTTGTAGAAAACTCATGCATTATATTTAGATAGAAATTTCTGGAATGATTTTTATTGTTGAAGTTGCTAGATTATGATTATTGTAGAAAATGAAAGACTATTCTAGAAACTTCTTAGTTAATATATATAGGAGACATTTTTCTTTCGTATTACCTTTTGAGTCATCAGTGATCTTTTAAGTCATCAGTTACCTTTTAAGTCATCAATATATTTGGAGTATTTTTCAACTTGGATATTAAGTGATTTATTGGAGCTTGGATTATTTTAAAATAGTAAAAATTATTCTTGTGGATTTTATTGTGGGAATTTATTCTGAAGTGTTCTTGGATTTAACTTGGATTTAACTGTGCTATTCAAAAAGGATCATTCCAGGATCAGACTAGACATTTGTAATTTTACATTTTTATTTGGACTTCAGGTATTTGTACACATAATTTGTTATTTTGATTTTTCTTTAATAATTTTTCTGTAATAAATTTGTTATTGTTAAAAGTTTGTTGCTGGCTTTTCTTTCTCGTTACGCCTGGCTCGTAACAGAAATTGGGGGCTCGTCCGGGATTTAAATATTTCTTTTTGGCTACATTATTGGAAATTATTACCGTTTATTTTACATTTTATTATTACCGTATTTACTCATCTTAATTGATATTATAGTTGTTCTATTAAGTGTGCTTTTCAGTTCTGAATTTTTAAAAAAAAACAAAAAAAAAAACAAAAAAACACCACATTTAAGTTTAAAACCAGCAGCAAGCAGTCATGTCTTTTGATTTAGAAAAGTTTGTAGCTGAACCTTCCCAGGAGGTATTAGATTTGGCTAAGAAAACTGATTTGCTCGATCTTGCAAAAAAGTATAATTTATTAAAAATTAAATCTTCAATGCGTAAACAAGAAATTAAAAATCTTCTGATTCATTATTTTGTGGATGAAGATATTTTTGGACAAGATGCACTTTCTCAGATTGTTGAAACAAACCCAGAAATTAAGATAAAAGAGCTTGAACTTCAATTTAAATTTGAACTAGAAAAAATGCAATTAGAAAAAGAAAGGGAAGAAAGGCAGTTACAGTTAGAAAAAGAAAGGGAAGAAAGACAGTTACAAAAAAAAGAAAGGGAAGAAGACAGTTAGAAAAAGAAAGGGAAGAAAGACTGTTAGAAAAAGAAAGGGAAGAAAAGAAAGGAAAGGCAGTTTGAAAAAAAGAGAAGAGAGAGAATTTCAGTTAAAATGAGAGAATTAGAAATCAAAGAGAGAGCAAATCAGTTTGAACATAGAATAAATTCAAAATTTGATGTTACAAAAAATATTAGGCTTGTTACACCTTTCCAAGAAAAAAAAGTTGATATGTATTTTCTTCATTTTGAAAAGGTTGCTGAAAATTTAAAATGGCCAAGAGAGCACTGGACATTACTTTTACAGAGCGTCTTAATTGGTAAAGCGCGTGAAATCTATACACAACTTACTGTTGAACAAAGCTCTAATTATGATAATGTAAAAGAATTAATTCTGAAAGGTTATGAGTTAGTACCAGAGGCCTACAGGCAAAAATTCAGAAATTCTAAGAAAGAAATTGGTCAAACCCATGTCGAATTTGCAAGAGAAAAAGAACAACTTTTTGATCGGTGGTGTCTATCTAAGAAAATTAATAAAAATCATGAAAAGCTCAGACAGCTCATGTTGGTTGAAGAGTTTAAACGTTGTATTCACTCTGATGTTAAATCTTTCTTAGATGAAAAACAGGTAGAAACTTTAGAAGAAGCTGCCCGTCTAGCTGATGATTATTCTTTAACCCACAAAGTCTCATTTATAAATAAAGGGAAGTCCACACCCTCACATTTTAATTCCAAGTTCAGTTCTGGTAATCTATCTGGCTCATCTAGTCAGTCAAATACTCCCAAACCAAAGTCATCTGATGAACATAAAGGTCATAGTCCCTTATCTCGTCCTACATGCAATTATTGCAAGAAAACTGGACATCTTATTTCTGATTGCTTTACCTTAAAAAGGAGGCAACAACAACGTGATGAGGCCAAACCCACAGGTCTTACCACTTCAAGGTCTGAACCTCAGTCTTGTATTGATAACAATGCAATTTTGAAGGTCAAAGAACCCAAGTCTGATTCTATAATGGAGATTTATGAACCATTCCTTTCGGAAGGTTCCGTGTCACTTATCGGTGATACTTGCCCACCTACTCCTATTAAAATTTTAAGAGACACAGGAGCTTCTCAATCTCTTATTTTAGCAGATACACTGCCTTTTTCTGAGAAGACTTCTTCTGGATCTAGTGTCCTTATTCAGGGTGTAGAGTGTGGTTTTTCTAATGTCCCTCTCCATAATATTTATTTGTCCTCAGATTTGGTAACTGGGCCGGTGGCTGTAGGTATAAGATCTTTCTTACCCTTTAAAGGTGTTCATTTATTGCTAGGTAATGACTTAGCTGGAGATAAGGTAGTGGTTAATCCACTTGTAACTGACACTCCTTGTGTGGATCAGACACCTGACCCCATTGAGCAGGAAATTCCTGACCTTTACCCTTCATGTGCAGTTACTCGAGCTATGGCTAAGAAG